TGTCACCTGTACTGGTGATGATGAAGTCATTACTGGTGTCATCTGTACTGGTGATGAAGGATAGGTCATAACTGGTGTCATCTGTACTGGTGATGATGAAGTCATAACTGGTGTCATCTGTACTGGTGATGATGAAGCCATTACTGGTTTTATCTGTACTGGTGATGAAATGGGGTTCATTACTGGTGCCATCTGTACTGGTGATGAAATAGGGTTCATTACTGGTTTTATCTGTACTGGTGATGATGAAGTCATTACTGGTGTCACCTGCACTGGTGATGAAGGATAGGTCATTACTGGTGTCACCTGTACTGATGATGATGAAGGAGGGTTTATAACTGATGTCAACTTTACTTGTGTTACAGGGGTCATTGCTTGTATCACCTCTATAGCTGTTGACGATTTTGGGTCTTGGTGTGCCTTGAAACAGGAAAAATTGTTAGAAAATTTCACTCAGTAAATTGTGAATGTCTATAAGATTAAGATTTCAAATAATTACATGTTATATAAACAAGCAACAATAGTGTTTACATTTTCATATGTTGTGATACAACATAAGAGATTCATATTTGATATTGTGTATGCAACGGCTCGGTATCTGCCATGGGGGTTGGGGTTGATGGGGGGATTGAAATTGAAAGTGAAGTCTAGGGTTGAAGTCACAAGTGGGAGAAGAGAAGGTCCCAGGACCTGTAGAATTTTAGGATGACAGTCAGCTGCAATAAGATATCATAATATTAGGGGGAAGGTGATGGAGGGTTGGGCTGGTCGCAAACCAAAACACGATATTAAAATGATGAAAATAATTCAGTTGGTTTTCTGCTGTCTGCAATTTTGTTTAAAATTTAATGTTGTTAGTCCTTATTTAGTGAGGAAGTATAGAAGAGTACTCTAAATCCTTCTTTTCAAAATCAGGAGTATACATTTAAAGATTACATTAAATATTAAACAGGAATTTTTTAATAAAGAATCTTTGATCAAAGTATAGAGGAATCTTTATTTGTTGTCCTTGAACATATATATTAACTTGGTACACATACATGTAAGTCTGTTATTGTCAATAATTACCAATAATGGAGATATAAACAATAACCCCAATACTATGTTTATATAATACTATTATTGTTAATTATCGACAGAATTTTAGACTCTGTGCTTGGTGTGGAAATATATATAGTATGTCTTATAATATGGAATAAATAAAAACTTTATTCTAGTATGGATTGCATTACCTGATTGAGTGCAACTTCAGCAACATACTGCCGCAACAGTCCTGGTCGCTCTTTTGTCCATACATCCTTGAATATTTGGTTCTGGAAATCGGGAATATTAAAAAGATTCTGGTGTGTTCTTTTATTAAACACTAACTTTAACTCCGTACAATACAGTAGGCAGAGTTAAACAATATACGTTGACAATTCTAAAGTGACTACACCAATGATATATATGGAGCAAGTATCTTAAGCCCATTTAAAACAAACATCACGAACAAAGATACGAGGACACGAGCCCGACATGGAATGAAGAATCTATTTGATGTATCCTTGGCTTTTACAACGAGACTTACCTTATAATAAGCTTCTGGTTTCCAGATATAACCAAGAAAGTTATTTAAATCAATGTTCCTGCTATTAACTTTGATAAAGTTCGAGTGGGAAATTGTAAACAATTTCATTTTCATTTTTCAGATCTCCCGCATTCTATACTCGCCGTTGTTAAGACGTTCGGGAGACTTCTAGAGTCTTCTTGACTATACAATGAAAAATTACAATTATGATGCTTTCCGAACGAACAATAGAATCACGTGGCATATCACGTGTTTCCGCCCACCTCTTTTGGATTTATCTTTAATCTCAATCGGGAACCTTCTCGTTTACGGAAAGTTCCGATATCCGGAAATATGACAAGTAGGAGTGTAACAATGCATCGAAATATCGATAGATTGCAATAAATCCTTCCCAGTATCAATGCATCGATTGTATATTAAAATTCAATATTTATTGCCGATTGTTCCGTCAGATATCGATTGTTTCAATAGTTATTAATAGCATCTTCCGGTCGGGGAATTCCCCGAAATGGTCCGAGTCATCACCATGTTTGTTTCATATCGCTAGTCGCTACACAGATTAAGGGGAGGTCACTCTCATTTAAAAGAAAGGAACATGGCGTCTGCTATCACGATTGTCAAGAATGCACAAGGAAAAGCTGCAGTGTGGAAACACTTTGGATTTGTCAAAGAGAATGATATTGTAGATAAGAAGAGAGTTGCATGCAGCCTTTGTGAAACAATTCTGAAATACTGTTCTAACACGACGAACCTGAACGACCATATTCATCGGAAGCACCCGTCCCTGAATCAGGATCCTCTGCAAGTTCCGGCAGCTCAGGGGAAATTGTTAACCACTCCAAGTTCGACGGCACAAACTCTAGGCCTTGCGACAATGTTTGTGACTAAAATCTCTCCAACATCTCTGAGAGGAAAAGCAATTACCGGGGCGATATACCCGATTTATTGTGCAGGATTTACGGCTGTTTAGCATTGTCGAAAACGCTGGGTTTAAGAACTTGATTCATGTACTGGAACCGAAGTATGTCATACCCTCAAGGCAACATTTTTCTGATAAAATGATACCCAAAATCTACGTCGATGTTAAGAACAAACTTAAGACTGAACTTAAGGGCCAGTTCGTGTCACTGACCACAGATGGTTGGACCAGCCGGGCCACTGACTCATACATAAATATTACGAGTTGCCATATTGACGCCAAGTTGGAGATGAAAAACTATGTACTTCAGGTAAATACAGATAGAATAACGTAACAAAATAGCATTGTTTTTAAATATTTATTTTAACCATTTATCTATACAATTAATAAATTTCACGTTCAGTTTTAAAACCCTTTGTAATGCAAATCAATTTTCTAGTATGCTATATTATAGAAGATTTTTCACCTAAACATAGTTGTAATTTATAAATCACCTTAATTTTTCTCCTGCAATATGTATGTAAGCTAACGTTTAATATAAAAATTATCGTTATAAAGAATAATTAATTGAAGATAACTTTACTGGATAAAGATTAAAGCGTCAATGCCTAGGTGCTAATGCTCATATATTTGATATTATACAGGGGCCTGGGGATATAAAATATTTAAAAATACCCAATATATATTTTTGTTTTACAATTTTTTGTTTTAGCCCCAAGCTATGCCGGATAGCCACACTGATAGTAACATCGCAGCGGTTCTGAAGGAAGCTGTGACCGAATGGGAACTGTTCCCACCCAACCCCCCTATTGTCAGTGATAACGCTGCCAACATGAGCGTAGCTGCCAAAGAATTTGGAACCACATTACGCGTTGGATGTTTCGCCCATACCCTCAACTTGGCCTGTGGGCGAGCTCTAAAGCTGAACACAGTGTCCAAACTCTTAGCAAGGATGAGACGTATTGTTGCGTACTTCCATCGCAGCACTACAGCTGCAGCTGTTCTTAAACAAAAACAAGAACTTCTACAATTGCCTTCTTACAAATTAGTTATTGATGTACAGACAAGATGGAATTCTGCTTTAGATATGACATGAAGGTTTCTGGAACAACAGGCAGCATTTTATGCATCGCTCACCGAAAAAGACCTGCGTGGAAAGGAGGAGGACATATCTACTTAGACCTAAATGATGTCACTGCGGCAGAGGAAACTTGTGGCTGTCCTTACACCACTCAAGATAGCCACTACAGTACTATGTGAGGAAAGTATTCCTACGCTGTCCATGGTGTTGCCTCTTCAACATCAGCTCGTGAACATTCTGATTGTGATCAAGGATCAGGACACAGAAGTGGTAAAGCAGGTGAAACGTGCCGTGGTTAGTGATCTCAAAGGAAGGTATGATGACATACATGTAAAACAAGAACTTACAACCGCCTCCATTCCATAACCTGACACGTGCTGCAATTTCTGCTAAAACCGTTGTCAAGAGTGAACCAACAGATGATGCAACCCATGTAGACCCAGTTGATGCGGATCTACCGAGACTGCCAGTGTCTTTGGATGATTCCCCTTCAGTGTCACCCTCCACTACCAGTGTATCCGCCCCTAGTGCGATGTCCAGTCTCTTTGGCGATGTCTACATTACCAAGGTAGTAGGACCCAAATCAACTGAGGAATTGTGTGAACAGGAGGTCATAAGTTACCAAAAGGAACCACCAATAAATGCTACTGACAATCCCTTAAAATGGTGGGACAAGTACTGTGAAATGTATCCTATGTTGGCTTTGCTTGCTAAACAGTATCTGTGCATACCAGCAACATCAGTTCCTTCAGAGAGTCTTTTCCACGGCGGGCGACATTGTAACTGCTCAGAGGTCCGCATTGAGACCTGACTATGTGGACAAGATGATCTTTCTAAGGAAGAACTGGAAACTGTATGTTGAACAATGAACAATACTAGTACTGAACTAGAGGCGACAAAGGTCCATAGAAGTGTCATTTTAGTGATTCTAAGGACAAATAAAAACTAAAAAGCGAGTTTAAGTTTCAATCTTTTGTGGATTTTTATCATTTTTACATCTGTATTTATCAATTATAAACACAATGACAACAGACAAATAGAAACATTACATAAACAAGGCAGTAAGTTGTTTAAGGGAAAACCCTAGATAGCATTGATTTACATTTGGAATTCGTGATTTAAAACATAGTTAACATACACTACGGCTTAATGTTTTCTACCCAATAATATTGCAATACTATCGCAATAAAATGTGCAATAATAATAATATTGCAATAGTTTTTCCGCGATAGCAATAATATTGCAATTGTGAAATTGGCCGCAATAGTTACCCCTAATCTCTTGTATCTTTTGTACAAGGATGAAGAAAAGTGTGCAAATCGGAAGTTAGAAATATGACTTTGGACAGATACCAAAGAAGAGAAGGCATGATGGTCCCAGGGCTTCAAAGGGTTCCAGAAATCGGCCTACATCTGATGAAGCACTTCCAGAAGGAAGAATTGAACAACTAGAGTCTCCATCTTTGAGTGAAGAAGAAGGACCAGAGGTTAGTTTTTTTCTTTGATAAATGAGATGTATAGTCAACAATATACAGAAAATATTGTTTATTTTTATATTACCATGATTTGTATAGGTTGTAATTATATAAGTATTCATGGTTTTTATTTTACTATTTTTTGTTATAGGTTATTGTGTAATAGGCATATTACCAGATAAGTAAAACATTGTCCCTGCATGTACCTTTGTAACTGTTAAAAAAACCCACCTGGAAATAAGATATAGTTATGTGACTCTGTGCCTGTATGAAAAGCTGTAACATCATGTGCAGTGATTTGTAGGGATCTGGAATTTCCTCCGGTGATGTGCTGGCAGAGAGGGACAATGTTACCAAGTACATCATAGAATTACGTCAGAACTCTGGGTTTCAAGTTCAAGACTTAAGCCACAGTAACAAGACACAGCAGGTTTTTTCCATAACATTCAGTTTGATTTGTATGTTTTGATGACAAAATATGGTTGCCAACACAAGGTTGCCATGTCATTTATGATATATTTTGAGAGATTT